CGCGGCCACCCCTGGCGACCCCCTTCCTCTTTTCCGGTCGGCCACCCTCGACCTCAAATCCGGTGTGGAGATGGGTGCAGATACGGCGCGGGCGCGTGTCGACTAAATATCTTCGGCAATCCACCGAGGGGTATGCCCACGATAGTAGATTGATCGGAGAGATACGCGTGAACAGGAGCAAGATGATGACAGAGACACAAGATTAGACAGGTTCAGACCGCCAGCTCGACGTAATACCCTAGTTCTGTGTTCTGTCGGTTTGTATTGGCTATCGTATGATATTGGATGTGTTTTAAGAGGGTCCCCTACCCGCCTTATATAGCCCGAGAGTAGGGTTACATGCCGATCAGGTCTAAGTCTAATCGGGTAGGATACAATCTTTACATCGAATCAAGCACTTCATATCTTAACTGATCCTATGCTATCTTTAGGATATCACCAAGGTGCCTTGCGGCGTGCGCCATAAGTCTTATCTTGTGGGCTAGACCGTCCCTGATGGTGCTTGGTGACGCCGTCTTGATCAAGTCCAAGAAGTCCAGCATGGGGCCCATGAGTTTAACTGACAACTTGAGCAGTGAAAAATGAAGACGACCAGTTTAACTGGTTGACAGACCTGTTGAAATGGACGCTGACCAGTTTAACTGTTTAGCCGACCAGTAAAAACATCTATCGACCAGTTTAACTGGATAGTAGACATTGGACTTAGCCAAGTAAGGCTCAGCAATAGGATGTAAGGAGCTTAAGAAAAATTTAAAAATTCTTCATCTCAAATAAAGTGTAGCCACTTAGACTCCATCTGAGATGTCGGATGATTATCATTCATGACTTAGTCAATAAGAAGGGTAAATTAGGAAAAAAACACTACATTCATCGAAAGGTGAAGTATAGCCACTTAGTCTACGAGCCTGGCGGTAGGTGAATAATTCACGTAGTGCCAGGGTCAAAAAAATAGAAGACTCCAAATGCTAGTCAATCACACAGCCAGTCCACAGCTTAGCTGAAAATCATTAAGAAGAAAAATCAGGACACTCACTATAAGATGAAGTGTACACACTTAGTCCTCGAGCCTGTTAGAAGATGGAGAAAACATCTTGTAACATGGTCAAAGAAATCAAGTGAAAATATTTTGCGAGGTCAAAAGAAGAAAGCAGCGTCATCCTGATGCTGTCTGAGCATCAATTTAACTGGTACTCCACCAGAGAAAATAAACAGCCAACTAGTTTAACTGGTCAGCTGGTCTCAAACTTGCTCAAGTAGGATATTCCAGTGTTGATGCGTGAAACAGCCAGCGTCATCTGCCATGTACTTATCAAGGCCCCCGACGTGCCGCCCAGGATCAGTACCCTGATCCGAACAACATGGAGTAGCTTGATAGCACACATGGCATGCAACACCGTCGAAACATAGTAAGCCGTCAGGTGAATTTTCCTTATGAGAATTTCAGCTTCACAAGAGTAGTCCAAGTTGGCGATCAAGCTGCCCGGCGACCTGGACTTGCTTAGCAGCCAGTCCCGAGCATCTTGTATCTGAAGTCGACCAGTGAAAATAGGTATTCGACTAGTTTAATTGGTCGGCTGGAGGTGAGTGACGGAGATTTCGCCCGAGGGACGACCACCGAGGAGATTGTGACGCTTGAAAAAAAGGCGACGGAGTCGGCGATGAAGCTGGCGGACGACCTTAACCTGTTCGGCAAGAAAGAAAACAAGACGGAGCAGATTAGGACGAATTTATCAAAGAACTTTGTAACTTTTCGAGGAGTTGTAGACAAACACTATGTTTGTTTTAAGTTTTATCTTATTTAAAATATGAGGAGTTTCCTTTGAGTTGGCCATTTATCGCATCAGCAGCCCCGACTAGTCCATACCCCATAGTGTAGAGTGGCCAGCACTCGTTTACACGTAAGAGTACATGCGTCATCGAAGAGCCGCTGTCGACCGTCCATAACGTAGAGCACTGGCACCCGTGCACGTGTAGGTGCGAGATCGAGAACAGGGCCACCTCTAAATAACGCGAATAAGGACGTGGCTGGTCGACCAGTCGGTGGAGAATATCTTAAAGATATTACGCAAGAAGAATAAATGGAGTATCCTAAAGATATTAAATATGGAGAACAAATGGAGAAATAATCAGCTTGTTCGCTTAAGCTACTTTTCAGCCATAGAACAGTATTTTTCTCTCACAGCATTTCAGCATAAAGATCAACATAAGCCAAATTTCAGCATAAGCGAACAGGGTAAATAATTGGAGAAACGACGAGCAAAAAACTTTATTAAATGCAGATGTAGGAAGGGTGCTTATTTTTAGACAGAACATCTGGTCGACGGCGTTGACGAAAGTGCCCGGCCCTTGAGCTTTCCGGCCTGTCGTCATGGCGGCGGTCACGGTGGTCATAGCACCGTTCTTCGCGGTGATCATCATTGCGACGCAGCAGGCGATTGGAACGAGTAGTCCGGACGACGTCGTCCTTGTGCTGCTGGTCGGCCTTAGGCAAATCAGATTCGAGGAGATCGTTGACGTAGCCACATTCGATCTAATCGGAGAAGAGATGCTGCATGGCGCTTTGATAGACGGCCGAGCGGAGTAGTCGGCGTGTATGATGTCCGAGTAGACGGATGCGGCGTGAACGGCTCGCCCTTGGCTCGACGGTGGCTCGCTTGATAGCTCGGGTGGCTCGCTGCAGTCGGACGGATGCTCGGAGTCGTAGTTGAATGGGCGTAGTCGGAGTGCATGTACTTTGCCCACACGGATGTGTGTACTTCGGCGTAGCTTGACGAAGTCCAGAGCACAGGCGTGGTGAAGTTGTCGGCTCCGATCCCGTTGATGTTGAAGTCGAGAGTGCTCTGCTCCGGCGTGGAAACAGCTGCTCTGTTCGTAGTTGATATTCATGTCGCTGGTGAATCCGTCTTGAATTCATACACATACAGGTTTGCATGCGCCAAGTAAATCAAATATTTAATAACTTGCATGGCCTTGCGTCTTCCTTTTGCTTGCTTGTAGATCAATCGTGGCCACGTTGGATCACCGAGGCAGAGTCGGCAGGGGCCAGGAGTCGAACGATCTCTGCTCGCCCAGGGAGGCGGAGCTTGATCGATCGAACCGATCCTGTCCCATGTGCGCCTCCTAGCTGTAGTCGCTTATCTTGGCTCTGTAGATTGATCCACGTCCGCCTTTACTTCTTGCTTGCTCTGTAGATCCGTACGTACATTTGCCGGCGTCAGGTATTAGTGGATTGAAATCATGACTGGCGCTCTCGACATGGAGCGTGCTGCTGCGAGTTGGATCGAGACACCGAGATCATCGTAGGTTGATGAAGGACGCCGCCGCCGCCGCGAGAAGCCGAGTTGCCACGGATGGTGCTGATCTTGAGATCCCATCTGGTTCGTCACGGGATCAGCACACGGATGGTGCTGATCTTGAGAACCCATCTGGTTCGTCATGGGATCAGCACACACACCCATACCTAGTACGTCAACTGTCGACTAAATATCGTCGGCAATCCACCGAAAGGTATGTCCACTATGGTTTATTGATCGGAGAGGTACGCGTGAACAGGAGGAAGATGGTGACAGAGACACAAGATTAGACAGGTTCTGGCCGTCAGCTCGACGTAATACCCTAGTCCTGTATTCTGTCGGTTTGTATTGGCTATCATATGATATTGGATGTGTTTTGAGAGGTCCCCTACCTGGCTTATATAGCCCGGGGTAGAGATACATGCCGATTAGGTCTAAGTCTAATTGGGTAGGATACAATCTTTACAAGGAATCAAACACTTGCATATCCTAACAGATCCTATGTTATCTTCACGATATCACCAAGGTGCCTTGCGCGTGTGCGCCGAGCAATGTCTTTACATGGAATCAAGCACTTGGCATATCCTAACAGATCCTATGCTATCTTCACGATATCACCAAGGTGCCTTGCGCGTGTGCGCCGAGCAATATCGTGTGCCGCAAGTTTTCATCTTGTGGGCAATCTTTACATGGAATCAAGCACTTGGCATATCCTAACAGCAATATCGTGTGCCGCAAGTTTTCATCTTATGGGCCATCTTTATATGGAATCAAGCACTTGGCATATCCTAACAGATCCTATGCTATCTTCACGATATCACCAAGGTGCCTTGTGTGTGTGCGCCGAGCAATATCGTGTGCCGCAAGTTTTTATCTTGTGACGTAGACGTGGCGGGCGCACTCTGCTGTTACGCGGGCACAGCCGATGCAATTCTATTTTGATTTTACGTGAGGGGGCGGGCCGGGTGCAATTCTATTTTGATATCTCGTTCTTCAACAGGGCTGGCTGCAGTGCCGCCCAGCCCTGTAGCCCAGCTCCCGCGCCTCTCCTCCTTGCTCGACGGAGTCAAGCCGGCAACTCTGCGCCGCCCGCTCCCGTCTCCGACGTCGGGCCGCGCGCTCCGTCTCGGCTCGACGCCAAGCCGCACGGTCCATTTCCTTGCCCGCACCGTTGCTGGAGAAGAGGAGGCGGGCGGAGGAGAAGAGGAGGGGCCGTCGGCGGGGACTGGTGACGGGGCCCGCGGAGGGCGCCGGTGTGGGCCTTCTCCGCCTTCGCGCTGGGGAGGACGGGCGCTGGCGGGGCTAGCGACGAGGCGCCGGCAGGGTAAGGGGATAGGAGCTTCTTGGGTCGCAGCGGATCTCGCGGGGGCCCGTGCGACATCGCCCAGGGGTGCCCCTGCCTCGACGCCGGTCGAACCGAGGCGGAGCTCATGCGAAGAAGCTGCTAGATCTGCCGTCATCTCCAGTTCTCCACACCTGCCTCGACGCAGGTCCGGGAGGATAGCGAGCGGATCGATGCTCGCGGAGTGAGCAGGGGCGAGGAGATAAGGCTGAGCGGTGCAGAGTAGGTCCGTTTGCCTTCGACGACTCCCCCACCTTCTCCGGCGCCTGGCGCCGGCACGCTCCGCTCCACCTCCATTCCAGCGGCGCGCTCTCTCGTCGCCTCGCGGCCCTCACCCCCCTGTTTGCTTCTCCATTCGCAGCGGCATGGAGCGCCCGAAGAAGAGCGCGGTGGCTGGCCTCCCCGACGACCTCCTGGTGGAGATCCTCTCCCACCTCCCCATCAATGAGATCCACCGATCCAAGTGCGTCTCCAAAGGCTGGCGCGACCTCATCGCGGATCCCCTCCACCACAAGAAGCTCCCCCAAACTCTCCATGGGGTTTTCCCTTCTTACGTGGGGGAGTTGGGATCTTTCATCAATCTGTCTGGGGGATCCGCGTCTCCCGTCGACCCTTCCTTCACCTTCCTCAAGAAGCTGCCTGGCATTCACAACATCTGGCTCAGGGCGTCCTGCAATGGGCTCCTCCTCTTTAGGCACAGCACCTGGTTTCGTGAGCTCGGCTATATTGTGTTCAACCCCGCCACAGAGCAGTGGGCGGCCGTGCCCAGCGAGCATACTCTGGCTGACAGGCCCATTCGCTTGAACCACACCTGTTTCGTGTTCAATCCGGCTGTCTCCCCCTACTTCCATTTGGTCATCATCAGCGCGCAGGAGGGGAGCCTGGCAACAGTGCAATCCTACTCCTCAGAAACAGGGGTGTGGAGGCACACCCAGATTGACTGGGCTCAGGAAGTATGGAGGATAAGACAATGGAATGCGCCGCCGCGTCCTCAGATCAGGGGTGCGGTCCCATGTGCCGCCATTTTCAATGGCATGCTGTATTTGATCTTGACTGATAATCAGATATTTGAGGTGGATGTGGAAGGGAAGACAAAAAGGATCATCCGAGCGCCGTCTTCTGTGGGTGGGCGGGTTCATGGCTGCTGTCCGCTTTTCATTGGTCAATCCCAAGGGCACCTATATTGCATCAACGAAGAACATTGAGCAGGTGGTATCCCATCTGAACTGTCCAGTCGTGTTTATACAAGAAACTCCAATGATGATTCTAATCTACTGTCAATTTGGGTTCTTGAGGACTATGATACACAAAAATGGGCCCTTAAGCACAGTGTGAGCTGTTCACGTCTGTTTGGAAGAACAGGTTTTCTTGGCTACAATGTGGTTGCCATTCATCCAGACAACAACAATTTGGTGTTCATTGTATATCGGAAACACCAGCTGATATCATATGGCTTGAACAGCAAGGAAGTGTTGACCGTCGGCACATTTCAGGAATCCTTGCAGTTTCCTCCTTATGTTCCTTGCTTCTCGGACTTCTTATCGGTGGCACAGCATGAAGAGAAACTAGGGGTGGGCATGTGAGATAAGCGTGAAGGACGTTGCCAGGGCAGGGGAGCGTGCAGTGGCCATTGATCCCTCAGGACAGATAGCACGGAGGTGGGCAAGGCGAACCCTGTAAATGCCGCTGAGTTTCTGCAGTCGCTCTAGCATGCTCAAGCTTTTGTATTTGCTTATGAAATAGGCTATCTACGTGTGACCTGCTTGACCTGTCTAGGTATGCAGACAATGTTTTTCCTATATATGGTGCTGCATTATATAGCTGACATATTGTTTCACTCCTTACCCTGTTTCTTGAGACGTCTTATCTAATTAATACTGCAAACCACTTCTACTACTGCAAGAAAAAACACTCAAGGTTGCCAATTAAAAGTTGAGACATGTTTGTAAGCTTATTTTAGATATGTGAGTTGTCTCAGTAAGTGTTGGAATCATCAAAAAGAAAAGGGGGGAAAAAGAGGCACAAAATTTTAATGACTTATGCTGTTTTGTTTCAAGTCATATGTTTTAAATGCTATATGTGATGTTTCCAGAATTTCAATCATCTTATACACTGATACTGATCTCTTTTTTCTTAGTCCTTTTTTTACTAGTGAGTGATTGGCTGTCTGTGAACTATATATTTCTATTCTCTCGGGCCTATGTTTATGCTGTAGTAATGAACTAAATGCAGCTTTCAGATAGTTTGCCAACAATGCATACAATTGAAAGTTCAGTACCCTCGAAAGCCACCTACTTGATAACATGTCATGTATAGTTTGCTGAAATTTTTTCCATTTTGTGCAGCTGAACAATAGCTGTCACCTGCCCATGTTGTAATGAGGATAGTTTGGACAGATTATTGCTTGGTTGTTGATGCTGGTCTAGATGTGTTGTTTATAACGATTGTATTATATTTATATGTAGCCATTTTTTATAACAGCAATCAACAGTTTAAATTTGTATTTGTAGCCTGTACTAGTTAGTTCTGCCCACGGCATGGCACTTGAGAGCTTTCAAGGTGACTTTTTTTTTTGAAAGTAAAGGCAGGAGCTCTGCTGCTCAATTAAGAAGGAAATAGAGTTTTATGTACAGGCACCCATGGTGCCAAAAAAACCTAGTCATAGGACCAACTCAAACATAGACCATAGAGCCAACACACAGAAGCCACCGCTCATGCGCTTGTTGATTTAGCCCGCACTAAACATGGCCCTACGCCTCTGAACAATATCTTCCTTGGCCAAATAGACGACCTGTTCCGACGTTTTGTGCTCGTTTTTGAAAATTCTCATATTCCTTTCCTTCCACAGGTTCCACACAACGTAAATGAGCACTCCATTAAATGTTCGGCATTCTTGCTTTGGCACCTTGTTTGCCACATCCTCCCACCAAGTGTCCAGGCACTGGGGATCTTGTTGGGGCAGCTTGCACATCAAAGTTTTCCCAAGATAACACCTGGCTCCAGACGGCTTTAGCGAAGGGGCATAGCAAAGATAGATGCAATCCTGTTTCCAAAGGTCCATTGCACAAGACGCAATGCTTATGATGTGGTCACCCTCTCTTTTGCAAGTTATCCGTAGTGAGGATTTTGTCGTGCATTAGTACCCAGGCATGTATCTTGCATTTATTTTCCGCCCTTGCTTTCCAAATGAGATCAGCCTGGAACTTGCGGTGTGAACCTTGGAACTGTATGTTATATGTCGAACGTGTGGAGTAGTTTCCATCAGCCGTCCATCTCCATACTATGGAGTCCTGCACATCGGGCGTGAGCTGCACTTCCTGAATCCTGAACCAGAGGGCGATGAATTCTTGTATCTGAACGAATGTTGGGATTTGCGTCCTGAGCAAGCGGATCCAATTACCATTTTGTAGTTCCTGGCAAACCGTCCTGTTCTTTTGTCTCACTAGCTCGAAAAGGTGGGGCGCTAGGTATCTTGGAGCTTCACCGTCTAGCCAATTGTGCGCCAGAAACGTGCCTTGTTACCATTCCCAATTGTTATCGTTGTTGAGGTGTTGAAGAGCAAATGGTCTAGGTCATTGCACGGCAGTGTCGTCCTTACCCAAGGTTTTGAGTCATGAACCCACTCCTGCCACAACCAACGTAGGCGCAAGGCTCTTCCAAAATTTTCCAAGTTTGGCACCCCCAACCCTCCCAAATCTTTTGGCATGCAGACTACCAGCCAATTTACCAAGCAATGCCCTCCGTTGGCGTTCTCATCACCTTTCCACAAGAACGATCTTCTGATTTTGTCAATTTGCTTTCTTGCCCATACCGCCAGAGGGAACACAGTGGGGTGATAGGTAGGCATCGAGGATAGCACTGTGGTGACCAAAGTAAGTTTGCCCGCTCTGTTGAGCATTCTACCTTTCCAACCAGGTAGCCTCTGCCCTATGCGTTCAATGAGCGGTTGCACATGGACCTTCTGCAGGGATCTCGTATGGAGCTGCAGTCCCAAGTAGCGGCACAGGAAGGATTCTCTTGCCCTTGCAAAGGAGGCTAACACATGATCTAGATCGATGTCTTGGCATCTGATCGGGTGGACGGAGCTCTTTTGCAGATTTATGTGTAAGCTTGAGACCCTACCAAATTCCTAGAGGATCGTCGTGATGGAGTCCAAGTCGTCCTTGATCGGGTTAATGAAGATAGCCGCATCGTCAGCATACATGGAGGTCCTCCACCTGGCCGTGGATAGAGGAATAGCAGAGAGGACGCCTTGCTGTGTTGCCATGTCTAGCCCGTTGAAGCGGGTCCATAGCGAGAATAAACAACATGGGCGATAGAGGGTCGCCTTGTCGATCCCCTCTGTTGTGACTGAAGGTTGGGCCCTGCTGTCCATTTAGCAGCGCTCTCGACGACATCGTGTGGAAAAGGATCGATACCCACTCCCGCAAGCGTGGTCCGAGCCCTAAGGCCTGCAATACCTCCAGAAGGTAGCTCCAGCAGACCGCATCGAAGGCCTTGTGTATGTCCAGTTTCAGGAACAGTGTGGGCAGCTTCATCTTTTGCATTGTCCATATTATGTTTTGAACATATAGGAAGTTGTCGTGGATGCTCCTCCTTTTAATGAATGCGCTTTGGCATTTCGAAACTAAGGAGTCCAGCAGTGGCGCCAACCTGTTTGCAAGTAACTTGGCAAAAATCTTCGCTATGCTATGAATGAGACTGATTGGGCGAAAATCTGTAACTCGCAAGGCGTCCCTTTTCTTTGGGAGTAGGATGATGTTTGCCGTATTTAGGAGCTCAAAGCCTTGGGAGTTCAGCATGTGCTTTCAAGGTGATTAATAGTTTGTTTTTATAAGCTCCAAATCATGCATCTTGTTCAGATAAAGTTGAATTAGATCTAAGCTAGGCAGTGGCGGACCCAGGATTTGAGACCAGGGTAGTCCTAGTAAAAAAAATTCATGTGTAATACTATAAAATCCAAACAAAAAGTTTGACAAACATAGTTATAAATTAACCAAATTACGATAATACATTTAAAAGGTTCGAAACTTACATAAATACTCCCTTCATACTGGTAAAGAAAGTCGTTTAGGATATGATTTAGCATACAAGAAGTGATTAATTAAAGGGTATTTTTTTTTTCTGTTTTCCCTTATTAAATAGGGTTGCGGGTATCATCTATCCAACAAACTTTCGTAGCTGGACTGGTAAGCGCACTGCAGCCTAAGACAGGAGGTCCCCGGTTCGATCCCTCTCGGGCCCATTATTTTTTTGAAGAGCTCGTGGATTTGCGGTGTCTTCGGCCTAGTCTGAGACGAGAGTGACCGTGGGCCGGTTTCTGAAGAGTAGTAATAGAATTTTGGGCCAAATTTGTGGGTAGTCCTGGGCCTGCCTGGACTACCCACTGGGTCCGCCACTGAAGCTAGGTAATTAGGACTTTTGAACGTAAAAACCTGAAAAGTTCAGGAAACAAATTTGAGAAGAGGAACCACTGCATTTTCTTGTGTTGTTGGAATGAACATGATGCTATCAATTATCAAATTTACAATTGCCGAGTCCATCTCAAGTTCAAAGCTTCATGTGATACTATTCTAGCATGAACTCGTTAGCAATTAAATCCGTGACGTCAACACCTAGCTTATGAATTAAAGCTTTAGAAGGATAAAAAATTGTCTACTCTGTATCCTTCAATTTACTTCCTTTCCCTCTTACAGAGGTGAGCTACTACTGTGTTGGAAGCTTACATGATAGATGGGCTACTGAGTCAGGATTCAGGAAGATCTTGCTCGTTTTGATTACTGGCTGCCATTTCTATAATCAGCATCGACCGAAAGCATTACTACCTGTAGCTTAGACTAGGAAAATTCTTAAAACATCCACTGAATGCTGATGCATCTGCAAGAATGTGGATGATAAATGTTGATTGAGTCCAAGTTAAGTACTAGTAAATCTCTGCATCTATGTTTTTATTTGCCCTTGTCTATCTTCTTGACTCAATCCTCCATATGCTATATGCCATGATAAATATCTGCAATTTACCTCTGCCTGCTGAGATGGTTGAATAAATTTCTTGACTCAAGTTAAGTGTGTCATTCTGTGTATGCTTGATATGAGATTGAGTGCTTCTGCTTTTCTAGGGATGTCAGAAGACCAATGCTCCATAAGCGTTCTTTCATCGGTAGGGCAGGTTCCAAAGGTCCTCTTTCTGGAATGTCTGTGATTGGAATAGAATCTGGTGCACAAGATTTCTGAAAAATCCTCGTCAGTCTTTGAGTTAGCGTGGATCATGGATGAGCAGCACCTGGCTTTGTTTGTAATTGGATAGAAGTACTGCTTATCCTGCTTTGTTTTACTACTGCAGATGTGTGACTCTGTTTGACATTTCTAGGAACATCAGCACGACTGCACTTGCCCATGTTTGGGATTAAACACACAAATTTTAGCATGTCCTACTACAAAACTACATGCCGACCTGTATGATTCTGCTCGCTTGCATTGTCGCATATCTGATTGTGTGTTCACCTCGAATCTAGAATATGGACTGGGCGATCATTTTCTATTGAAACATTTGCTGAGCCTTGCGTTCTGGATTGTGGTGTTCCCGAGCTGAGCTGTGCGTTCTACTTGTGCAGTTTCGTTTTCTGAAACCGTATTGGTAAGGAGATCTTGGGATGTGCAATTTCATGAAGATTGCATGTCTCGTGCTTGACACCACCCAGATCGTTGGGCACCAATTTGCCATGTAGACTGCAGAATAAAATTAAACCGTTAGGCAGCAGACCGATTTATAGTTTAGTTTAATTGGGTTCTGCATGAGGATTTGTGGTCACCCTTCACCAACCAGAAGTTCAAGGACCAGATGAGACGAGCCTGTCGAAAATGTACTGGATGCCGTGGAAGCAATTCTTACGTGTAGCGTCAAATTTCAAGAGGAATCTGGATTGAATGTTATTTTTTATGAAGCCCATATGTTTGGTGTTAAATACTCAAAATTTACCAGGAGTTTAAAGAGTGCCAAATGTGTAAGAGCCCTCCTTAGAGAGGAGGCACTGGCAAGGTGGAGGGGTGGTGGCTAGGGCTTGGCTGCGTAGGGAGGAGTGGCGGCGCAGGGAGAGGGAGGTGGCTGGCGCAGGAGAGAGAGGAGGAGAGGGATAGGAAGGAGCAATTGCTCTCTATTGCTTAGTTTGATTGATTACATTCCCTAATATTTATAGTTCATATTGGACTTGTAATCCAAGCAACCTACGAGAGATCTTATAGATTGGATTCTCCTTTCCATAACTAACAAACTCTAATTCTATAAGTAACCAAACTCTAACCTACTAACCTACTCTTGATATGGTAACTCGGAAGATGACGACGGCGGGAGCGGCGCCCCTCCTCTAGCGCGTGCAGCCCTAGGGCGCGCTCGAGGTGCCTGGCGCCCCTCCTTGGGCCTCCCTTGGCCCATTTGCTCTAGGTCGAGGGGCCTTCGTCAGACGTATGACAAAATGGCCGAAGAAAAGTGAAGCCGCCAGAAATTTGGCCAAAGGGGGGCAAAGGGGCATCGCGCAATTTGTGTTTAACCGCGATTGTCGGAAATGTACTGGGTGCTGTAGAAGCAATTTCTTTCCCATCTCCATCAATAATAATAATAATAATAATAATATATAAAAAAACCCTTGGTTTCAGAAAAAAAAAATCCCCAAACCCTACCAACAGACAAGCTCGGCGATCTGCGGCGTCCGGCGGCACAGACTACCCGCGGTGCGCGTCTCGACTCCCTTTCTCTGTCGAGCGGCATGGACCGCGCGAAGAGGAGCGCGGTCGCCGGCCTCCCCGACGACATCCTCGTGGAGATCCTCTCGCGCGTTTCCGTCAAGGACCTCCACAGATCCAAGTGCGTGTCCAAAGCGTGGTGTGGCCTCGTCACCGACCCCCTCCACCGCAAGGAGCTCCCGCAAACCCTACATGGGTTCTTCTACGGCGGCGGGGGATACGGTGGTGACAGAGGCAGCGATGGCGAAGACGAAGACAGGGACAGGGACGGCGGCGAGGACGGGGAAGAAGACGCCGACGACAGCGACAGCGACATCGACATCGACACAGAAGAAGACGTCGACGACGAGGAAGAAGAAGACGACGACGACGACAAGAACCAGATCTCCCCAGGGTACGGTCACTTCATCAACCTGCTCGGGAGATCCGCGCATCTCGTCGACCCTTCCTTCTCCTTCCTGAAGCGACTACCCCTACCCGCCATTGACAAACTCAGGCTCTTAGGTTCCTGCAATGGGCTTCTCCTCTTTGGGCACGACATCGATTTAGATAGCATGGAATTTATCGTGTGCAACCCCGCCACTGAGCAATGGGCTGCTGTGCCCTGCAACCAGGGCCGGCCTCCGACGGATTGGCATCTTCGAGCAAGCCAAACCTATTTGGTCTTCGACCCGGCTATCTCTTCCCATTTCCATCTGGTCATGTTCCGGCAGGAGGATCGGAGACCAACTGTGCACGCCTACCACTCTAAAACTGGGGCATGGAGTCACAGCGATATTGACTGGACTGAAGAAGAAAGGAAAAGATCGCACCTTGACCTCTGTTACCTTCAGGCTTCCGATGCGGCCGTTGTTAATGGCATGCTCTATTTGATCCTCGAGGAAAATCAGATTTTTCAGGTGGATTTCGAAGGGAAGACCCGTGGGGTCATCCCAGCTCCATCGTCAATTGTTCAGGGGAATCTTGATTACACTGCAATTTTCGTTGGTCAATCCCAAGGGCGCCTGCATTGCGTCAATGAGGAGTGGGGTGCTGATGATTTCCCCTCCGAACTGTCCAGTCGTGTTCATATTGGAGACGCCGATGATTACGCTCTACTGTCCATCTGGGTTCTTGGTGACAATGGTACACAGCAATGGGTCCTTAAGCATAGTGTCAGCCTTTTGCATTTGTTCGGGAAGCTTGGCGAATCCGGCACTGAGTACAGTGTAGTTGCCATTCATCCAGACAGAAATTTGGTGTTCATTGTTCAATATTGGAACTGGCAACTCATCTCATATGACATGGACAGTAAAGAGGTGTGCGCTCTCGGCACTCTTGAGCATGAGTGTAGCCGTGTTACTCCTTTTGTCCCCTGCTTCTTAGACTTTTTGTCCAGTTAATACTGCAAGGAAGCTGAGACATCATGTACTAGGTTACATATATGCCAGTAGCCAGTTATCCTAATTAATGTAGTTTTCTAAGTTTCCCGGACTATGTTGGTTTGCATTCAAGTCAGTATGAAATGCTATCTATGGTGTTCCCAGAATTACAATAAACTCTGTTTTTGTAGTCTGACTCTGCTACCAATGTCGGTTTGTATTCAGGTCATAGGTTTCAGGTTATAATAGCGAGTGAGTGCTTGCTGTATATTTATTGTCTGTTCTTTCCTGCATTAGTTGTTTTTTGCTGAATGCTAAAGCAATAAGCTAAATGTAGCTTCCAGATAGTTAACCAACAATGCTTGGCTGAAAGCTCAGAACTGAAACCTGTGCTGTGTTAGCCACAAAAGCTTCCAACTGGATTGCATGACATGTCTAGTTTTCGGATAAATATTCCAATATATGCTGCTGAACAGTAGTTGCCATTACTGTAAAGAGGATGCTTCGGACTGATCATAGCTTGCTTGTCAATACCAGTTGCTAGAAGTGTTATGGAAGAACCATCTCATTCTATTTATCTGTAGACAATTGTTTGTTATACAGCAATCAATACTTTGAGCTTGTATTTGTGTCCGATATATACAAGTTAGCTCTGTCTGCAATATGGTACTTGAAAACTTGGAAGGCCTTTCACCTAAAATCCCAGTGACCAATGTACCCACACCTTGTTATAAGCTTGGAAATTATAGGTGATCAGGAGGCAAAAAAAAAAAAACTTGGAAAGTCAAGGAAACAATTTGAGAAAAGGAACCCCCACCATTTTCGCTTGTTGATGAGATGAATGTCTTGATTTCACCTAGTCTTAAAACTACATTTGGTGCAATTTATGCAGGTACAATAAAACTCATACTCCCTTTGTTTCATATTATAGACCATTTTAGGTTTGTCCTAAATTAAACTTCTTTATATTTAACTAAGTTTATTGAAAAAAAAAAACACTAGCATAATATAGGAGACGCAGATGATTACGCTCTACTGTCCATCTGGGTTCTTGATTACAATGGTACACAGCAATGGGTCTTTAAGCATAGTGTCAGCCTTTTGCATTTGTTCAAGGGGAAGCTTGGCGAATCAGACTGAATACGGTGTAGTTGCCATTCATCCAGACAGAAATTTGGTGTTCATTGTTCAATACTGGAACTGGCAACTAATCTCGTACGACATGGACAGTAAAGAAGTGCGTGCTCTTGGCACTCTTTAGCAGTAGTGTAGATGCGTTACTCCTTTCGTTCCCTGCTTCTTAGACTTCTCCAATTAATATGCAAGCAAGTTGAGACATGCAGCTACTAGATCACATATGCCAGTAGCTAGTTATCCTAATTAATGTAGGTTTGCATTCAAGTTATATGTTTCAAAAAATGCTACCTATGGTGTTCCCAGAATTGCAATGACTCTGTTTTCATAGTCTGACTCTGCTACCATTGTTGGTTTGCATTCAGGTCATATGTTTCAGGTTATAATAGTGAATGCTTACTGTATATTTATATTTTGTTCTTTCCTGTATTAGTTGTTTTTGCTGAATGCTAAAGTAATAAACTAAATATAGCTTCCAGATAGATAACCAAGAAACTTGTGGTGTTGGCCTCAAAAGCTGGCAGCCTGTTCGGTAGGACTGAAAAATAAGCCAAAATACTGTTCCGGCTGATTGTTGTGAGGAAAACACCGTTCTGGATGAAAACACTGTTCATATGAACGCGGGCACTCTTGTGCACATGTGTGTTAGCATATTTTCACAAAACATTTTCAACGGTGTTAGCATTCCACTAGATTCTAAATGCATATGCAATGAGTTAGAGCATCTAGTGACACTTTGATAACCGCATTTCGATATGAGTTTCACTCCTCTTAATAGTACGGCTATCGATCCTAAATGTGATCACTAAAACAAAATGGCTCATACTATTTATACCTTTGCCTTGAGCCTTTTGTTTTTTCTCTTTTTTTTTTCAAGTTCAAGCATTTGATCATCACCATACCATCACCATCGTCATGATCTTCGCCATTGCTTCATCACTTGGAATAGTGCTACATATCTCATAATCACTTTGATAAACTAGGTTAGCACTTGGGGTTTCATTAATTAACCAAAACCAAACTAGAGCTTTCACTTGGTCAGCCTCCCCTTCGAATGTCGGTTCTCCACCGCCTTTTAGATTGCATCTACGCCGTCCTTTTAAGTCCGTTTGATCCGAGGGTCCAGAATTGACGCTACCCCTTATATATACCGCCCTGTACCTCCTCCAGTAGAGCCATCCTGAAACCCTAATTCATATCCTCCTCATCAGGATCAGAGCCAGCTATCAAGAAAGATTAATCCTCTATAGGATCTAGTCTTGTAATTAAAAATAGTGAGATAGAGAGTGAAGGAAGAGTTTGGCTGCAGTACCAGCCTGTCAGTGCTTTCTCTACGGCTTGTACCTTGGCGGATCCAAGTTCTATTTGAGTTTGCTTCTGAGACTTCTCTATAATCAACTTCTGATTCAAGTAAGCATCTTGTTTATATTGTTCATCAGGATCACGACTTTTTTGAGTGCTTTATTCTCTTCCTAGGGGGGTAAAGTATTAATCGTAAGTGTAAGCGTAGTGCTTAGACTTGGGTTAATTGTGGATGCACCCTGCATTTCGGACCGGTGGTAGATCGCGAGGTAGCGTTAGAACGTAAGTGTGACACTCTCGTTAAGTCCTCTGTACTCCACCTCCCGTTTGTAGGCCAAGTAGGACCCAGTTACGAAGAAAAGCATCATCTGATGGTGTCTTTTCCTTAGTAATGTCTCTAGTTGAATAGTAAAAGACATAGCTTACCGAAGTCAGAACTAGAGAACCTTAGTTATCCTCTCTATGCTCCTATTTATCCTTAGCCTTATTGTTACCCCTGGTTAAGTTAGATTGTAGTTAATCTCACACGTTTCTGAATACTTCCGGGTGAAAGTTACAGCGGTATCCATGTGATTGCGGATTTATCTGTGTGCGTTAATAAATACCAACAGTGAGCTTGGATCTGAAACGTTGACCTGGAAGCCATTTCTTAAAAGGGCATTAGCCGAACTTGATTTTTTTTTTAAAGAAAATTTACGGAGTCCGGATTTATTTCAGGATTTAATAGCGTTGTGCTTTCAGTGGTAGGCAACGTTTTCGTCGACAGCGCGTCACCTATGGTGACTTCATCAATCTCGAGATGTGTCGGCATAGTCTTTCGGAGGTACTCATAGAGGTACGGTTTGCATACATATTTTCATAGGGGTGAGTGTGTGTGTGTTGAGCGTCTGCGGCTGTACCTGCGTAATTCGCAAAAAAAAAATATTTTGTTGGCCGAATCCAATTTTTTGTGATAAAACATCAAGTATAATGTATATATATGCTGGGCCTAATCCTCTGGGGTGGGTTTTGAGTGAGAACTCAGGCCGAAGCAAACACCGTCCGGCTCCTCCCTTCCACAGGCCGGCCCACAAGGTTCTGACGTTGCCAACCAGAGGCGCGGGATGCAGGCCTACAGGTTGCCGTTCCGTTTGGCGCCTCCCATAAACCCGTATCCGTAACGAGTCCGACAGACAGGTCCGTCGCACACACAGGCACAGCGTGGCGGGCGCCCGTGTGTACGGCGGCGTGTGATGTGTTTGCTGTGGTCACCACTCAATCATCGCCACCAACTAGATAAGCCCATGAATGAAAATGAAAATGTAATGGCTTGGACCAGCAGGCTTGTGGTCGTGGAATAGTACTCCTATGTGATGTCGATCCGGTGCGATGCACATGGCGTATTCAAAAGCCGCTGGCTGGTACTAGGGCGGAGCAGGACTGGGACGTGCACGCGAGTTGGCTACTCGGTCCCCACCCCATGGCCCCATGGAATCTGTAGCGCTTCACGAATCGAAGCCTTGTGTTCGTCTTCGTATTGGTGGCGTGTACATACCGTACTAGAGGATGAGTCCATCATGGCTGAAGTGGAGAAGCGGAAGGACGCGAGTGAGATCTGGATGTGGATCAGGCAGGCCAACAACGCAGCGCATCGCATCCCACGGAGGCGTGCAGCGCACCGACTCGCGCCGACCCCTGACGATGCGCTTCCGCGTGCCCAAGCGGCCAAACCGTCTTCCGTCCCGTCGCCTACTATCATCGACAGACATCACTTGCCTGCCTGCGCACAGCACGCAACGAGTTGCACGGCGCCATCCGTTCATGGCAGTGGTGCGGGTTCGGGTTGGATATCCGTGGTTTTCGGGTCTGACGGTTTCGATTTTGGTGTCTGGTTCTCGCCCACGGTTTTTCGGGTTAGGATACCCGAAAGTTAGCGGGTTTGGGAAGGGTTTTCAGTTTCACCCGCGGATCACCATTGGAGCCCTGAAATAATTTGGTCCACTAGCAGCCCATCAACAACCCTAGCATATAAGCCTGAAATCCTCTCCCTCAGAACCCTCACCCGGTCACCCCAGACCCAACTGCCCCTCGGGCAGTCGTAGTCGGGCGCACGGCGGCGACGTAGGGACGCCTTGAGCTCGAACGGTGGAGCCCTCGACCTCTTTCCTCTCGGTGTGGAATCGTGGATCCGTGCTCACCCCGGTGCTCCGTGCTCGAGGCTCGACCCCACCCAGGCACCCACCGACGGCCGCCTCGGCGCCTTGTCGCCTTGGGCACCTTGCCATGTCCGAGAAAAAAGATCACAGCGATTAGCGGCCGGCGCTGCCCACTCAATGAAAAGGCGTGGCGTGCCAGCGAGGGCAGCGGCAGCTTCGTAGGCGCGGGCGCACCAGCCGAAGCGGTGTCGCGGAGGCGAGCAGGTTCCTACTTGCCCTGGCTAATTGCTGCTGCTACTGTTTGCTAATTGATGCTGTACATGGCTAGCTGTGGGTGTTGCTTGCTAACATGGCTAGCTAATTTATTCTATACATATTCTGTACATTTGTAGCTGCTGTCTGTCAGTAGTTTCATGGTTACATCTTGTTATCTGCAATCTATTTTGCTAATTTATCATATTTTGTATTGCCGTTCTTGTTGATTTGTTGTAATTTTTTCGGGTTTTGGATTATCCTTCGGGTTTGGGATCCGGGTTTTGGTCCACGGGTTTTGGTTTCGGGGATGGATTTTAACCCGAATCGGTGTTCGGGGTAGATTCAGGTTTTAAGTTCGGGTTTCGGTTTTAGGTGCCCAGACACTCCACACGATCCAAACCTGCCCCGTTTACATCCTTAATCATCACGGGTGAATGCAACGAAAATATACGTATTCATTCACATGTAGACGTAGACCCCACTCGTCATTCTTCCATGGGTGGCCTTCCCGCCGTTTACTTTTCTAGTATTGCTTTTGTACAGCACGACAGTAGTATACTAGTACGCAGCTAGCAGCACTGCGCACTGGTCACGCTACTGCTGTGTGTGCACTTCGTCACCTACTCACCTCGCCCCGGAGCCGGAGGTCGTACTACTGGCTCCCACGTCAGCATCCACAGCCGTGGAAAATGGAGCCGCGAGTCAAACCCGCCAGTGGAATCAAGCCACCGCATCGGCGCTGACCAAGTCAACCCGTCCGAGCTCACCTCCTCACGCCTTCCTTCCGTTGGCCGCCGCCTCCGCCTCCGCCTTCTCCCTCTCCATCTCCTCCTCTCCCGCCCCCCGCCGGTCCACCGGCAGGCACCCGTCCTTTCCCGAGCCCTCGGCGCCGTCCCCGTCGCGGAACCTCGCGTAGATGTCGCCCCTGTAGAACCTCCACGTCCGCCACACCAGCACCAGCGACACCAGCGCGCCGGCCACCGTGGCCGCCGTGATGATCAGGAACGACCGCTTGTAACACTCGACGCCAAGGCAGAGCCTCTCGTGCTTCCCGCCGCCGCCGACGTTGTGCTGCCGCGCGGCGGCCGCGTCGTAGAGCCGCCCGGCGACGCGGACGTTGAGGATGTACGAGCCCACGGGGCTGGCCATGCCGCCGAAGTTGTGGAGCGTGGAGTAGTACTTGAGCCCGAACACCTCGGAGATGATGGCGAACACGAGCGGCCACTGCGCGCCGAAGCAGAACCCGATGACCACCGACGCGGCGTACAGGGACTGGGGCACGCCCAGCGCGATCAGCACGTGCCCCGCGCACGCCAGGACGAGCACGCCCGTCAGGAGCACCGGGCGCGGCACGCGGTACCGGACCAGCAACGCCTCCGAGGCGTACCCGGCGGTCACGCGCCCGGCATAGTTCCAGATGCTGATCAGGGACACGAAGGTGTTGATGCTCTTGGATGGGTAGCCGAGGGACTCGCCGATCTGGCCCATGTTGTCGATCGCTGTTAGTGTGCCGCCCACGCCGCAGATGGTCGCCACGAACAGGACTAGCATGTCCACGCTCACTAGCGCCTGTAGGATCGTGTAGTCCTCGCCACGGGCCGGCGGGCGGAACATGGTTCGAACGCACTTGCCGAACGATCCCAGGCAAGACGACGACGTTGGCGTCGGCGTCGGCGCCGCCGGATGCTGCTCTGTTTTCTTGGTGGTGGTGCCGTCCGTTGCTGCTGCTGACATCTGGAGGACGCTGGATGATGGTGGAGCACCGGCACCGGCACCGGCACCGCCGGCGTCGTCCACGACGGTGATGGTCGGCGGCGTGGGGTCGGCGGCGCGGAGCGCGGCGTCGAGCTGGCGCTCGCGGAAGATCTTGTACTCCTGCTTGACGACGACGCAGAGGGGCATGAGGAGGAGGATGAGCGGCGGCGCGGCGGCCACGCCGTACGCGTCGCGGGAGAAGGTCACCTGCTTCTGCACCACGATCATGACGAGCAAGAAGCACGCCAGCGCGATAGACAGGTACAGGAAGCAGAAGAACGGGTCGGAGCTCGTCTCCTGCCCGCCCCCGCCACGGCGCCGGCGCGGGTACGGCATGTACCGGATGGTGTGGACGAACACGACGGACACGGCCGCGGGGAGCCACGCGATGAGGAGGATCAGCGACTCGGCGTCGTCGCCGCCGTACAGCGCCAGGTACAGCTGCGTGTACACGGCGCCGCTGAGGCCGACGAAGCCCTTGAGGATGCCCAGCACCACGCCGCGGCTCTCCGGGAAGTTCTTGACGCACGTCACCAGTGCGCCCGTGTTGGCGAACGACTGCGAGTTGGCGCCCACGAAGAAGTAGAGGCACACCAGCCACAGCGGCGGGCGCGACGTGTGTCCCGACACGGCGAGGTACACCATGAGGTAGCCGAAGAGGTTCATGCCGGCGCCCATGGCCAGCACCACCCACGGCGGCGTGACCTCGTTGATGAGCCCCGAGAAGACGCCCAGGTTCGCGCCGAGGTCCTTGAAGAAGGAGACCGTGTTGAGCGTGCGCTGGTCGTACCCGAGCGACGACTTGAGCGTGCCGGAGTAGCTCCCGAAGATGTACGTCGCGCCGGAGGCCGCCATGATCAGCAGGCTCGCGAACACCGTGAACCACCGCCCCAGGAGCACCTGCCGCGCGAACCCGCGCGTCAGGATCACGCCCAGAGGGTTCCCCGACGGCGGCGCCGTCGCCGGCGAGCTGCTGCCGCTCGCGTCGAACACCATGGTGGCGCGCGACGACTGGCACTGGCAGCTAGCGCGCGCGGGGCCGGGGAGGGAGGAGCAGGATGTTCTTTCAATCTGTCCGGAGCGGCTGATGGGCGTTGGTTGGAGTCTGTTGGGTGTGTGTGTGTGTCTGAATTATGAGCTTGTTTATACACACACATGCTGTTGTATTTAAGAAGCTGGTTGAGGGAGAAAGGAGTGTGGATCGAGTGACGGGCTTGAGGCGTGCTGCGTTAGTATGTTCTCTTTCACACTGTTATGTTGGTGTTGGAGGTTAGGACGAACTGCCTAATTGAAAATTTGGATCTTGAGAAAGGTGTAATGTTTTATATCTAGAACTACACTAGCGTCTGAAAGAATTTTTGGGCGCCGTAAACCATGGAGTAAGAATACAGCTAGGGGATTTCCTTACACCTGTAGCAGTGATTTTTCAGGTTTAAGAATCTATTCCGTTTGGTTTTTTGGTGTCCTAGTGATGTTTTTGCACGTATCGGTGTTCAGAATTAACTGAACAATTCAAAGACAGCAAAAAGAAAAGAGTATGTCTGTTTGACACTTGGGTGTTTTACCCTAACTCCACACCTGAATTTTTCTAGCACTATTCATCTTCTACCTCCAGCAGCTCGAGTGCACTGTTCATCTTCTACCTTCAGCCGTTCGCTGCGCACTGTTTATCTTCTACCTTCAGCCACCCGCCGCGCCGGGCGCTGCACTGTTTATCTTCTTCGTTGGTACAGATCTGGAAACAATTTTTTTCTATGAAAGGACAAGGACAAATCGTGGCTGTGTCGGCACAGATCACAAGCAACAAATCGCGGCGGAGCGGGCACGGCCGTGCCACGGGGGCGGCGGCGGAGGTCCGGCTTGGGGGCGGCGGAGGCAGCAGCGGAGGTCCAGCCTAAGGGCGGCGGCGGAGGTCCGGCCTGGTGGCGGCGACGGAGGTCCGGTCCAGCCAGGGGCTGCGCGCGGCGCCGTCGCCTGGGCGCGAGGAGGCGCGGGCACCGGGATCAGCTCGCCGGTCCTGTCGCCGGTGAGAGAGAGAGAGACACGTGGAGGGGAGGAGTCGGTCGAGAGCCTCATGTCAGAGACACGGAAAAAATCGTGTGTTTATAGGTGCTAAAACACCCGTGTGGTGTTTAGCATTCCTGAAAAGAAAAACTATAGGACAATTACCAGCCCTCTCCTTTTTTTTAAAAGAAAAGTGTGTGTTTCTATTTATTGGATTTGTGGACATATTGATTGCCACATTCTCAGCATATATATATATATATATATATATATATATATATATATATATATATAAAAACTACACAATGTCGTTCTTTTATATCCTTCTAGATCTTGGATTGGCATCCAATTACCTCCACTCACCCCTCTTTCTACACCTGTGTCCTTCCTTCGCCTTTACGTCTTGAACGAGGTGCCCTCACCATCTGTATTGTTAGGTGTTGTTGGATCTATATTCGCGACCATCATGCCTCTTTGGCTAGCCACTACAAACCATATATCTCAACGAACAACCCGGTGACCTCCTTATCTAATCTCTATAGCAGAGGGACGGTGAATCCTAACTCCAAAATCACTTACCGTTACCATAATTGTGGTTATTAGAGTTTGTAGGTGAACCCTAACTCCCAAAATCTCTTACCTTTACCATAATTAAGGTTATTAGAGTTTATAATGTCTTTGCCCAATAAAACCACAACGTCACTGAGGATGTTAAAGCAAAAATAAATCTTTTCGCAAAAGCGTGCTTGATAGATTTTAGACGAAGTAAAGTAAAAAAAAAAGCCAAAAAAGACAAGTGTCCAATTTACTAGAGGAAAATTGGAAAAACACAAAAGGAGTGCAACCACAACTAAGGACCAGCACCAAGACTCGCTTAGGAAAGAATCTTTGAGCAACTGACAAGAGCATCCTAAAACTTAGTCGTAATTGTTGAGCTTCTCGCATAGACCATGGTCAAGCAACTTTGACTTCCAAACGTTCAAGAAGGGGGAACTATATGTCATCTTTGCTGAGCTCGTTGGATGACCAGATGCACAACTCTGAACCCGTTACGGTCATCTCCCCCTAAAAAAGATAGGTTGATGACTCTACCAATGGACTTATTATGAGTCGGCAAATGATTCCAACAACTGCCACCACAACACAAAAAGAACATGAAAGACATGACATAAATCGCCGCTACTCATAAAGAAACTTGAACAAGATTTTCTCGTGAAGACCGATGTTGTGGGGAGGGACCTCCAAGAAGAGGAAAACGGCACCCGGCGATGTCAGTGTTGTTAATTATAACCAAAGGTAAGACAAGGCTTTTGCCAATGACACGACACCTCTCCCCCAACACACACACACAGCTAGCTAACATGAAGAATGGTCATTGCCTTTACACCATATCTCCATAGTCGCACCATCCTGCTAGCAACCAAGCTCCATGGAGCTCCGTATAGGCTTAGTATGCTAAGACCTAAGATAGAATGAGGAAAAGGAAGGCGAGGAACAGCAAGGAGGCTAGGAAGCCGATGGGAGACACATGTAGAAACAAAGCTAACTAGTTAGCAATGTGCCATTCGAACCGCAGCCAGCAAAGCCACATCACTGGCCCCTTATGTGTGTTCGTCCGCCTGCAGCTGAGATCCAAAGTTCCCCGGGGTTGCATTATTGCCGGTGAACTTTGTCGGATTCAGTCTATGTGGCCAATTAATTGGCCACTAGTTGCGACGACAAACTACGATCGACCAGCACGTACTGGCCAACAAGCCACATTCAAGAAGGACCGCCATCGCTTCCCACAAGATTGTCACATTGCCGCCTCCCTCGTTCCCAGCCGCACAGGCTTTCAGCACGACGCTATGGCTGTGGCGGGCGAGGAGAGGGTTTCAACAAGGGTTCACGAACCTAAGAGCCGAGGACTCAGCCCGGTCTGAGCTCGAGCAGTCGAGCATGCTGAAAGGACTCACATTCAGCACGCATTGGCAGCGGATCTGTGGCCACTACTCCTCTAGCTTTCCTTCCCTGCCGGCGCCTAACCGTTCGGATCATTGGTCCCACGTTCTAGTCGTGGGCCAACAACTACAACTACCGCGTTTATTTATTTGTAGCGCCCAAACGGCCTGAAAAAAAGTAGCAGTGGATCAGTGCAGTAGTTCTATGTGATCCCAGCTTGAATTTTTGCTAGCTACGTAATGCACTCTAGAAGACTTACCACAAACGCCTGCCTGCTCACTTGCTCATGATCAGTTAGAATAAAATAGAGTTAAACTCTGACGTTCTAGACCACCAGATGCAACTTGTACACAGAAATTCCTTCTGGGAAAAATTAAAGAGTGCCCGTCGTCAGAAATGCATGATGTGATCGAGCACCCGGCCGGATAGATATTCTGACGCGATGGGTCTTGCGGCGGCGGCGGCGGCACGGGACGAGAGCTTGACTTGGAGTGCAGCGCCACGACGACTTCTCGTGGAACGGGAGCCAGCACTGCGCAGGGAATCTATCGGTCTGGTATTCTTCAGGCGTGGTGACTGGTGAGGCGATCATGGGAAGGGGGTGACCGGCGAGTAGCGCGCGCGCGCGCGACGTTCGCTTTATTGTTATTTATTTTTCTAAAAAGAGACGGCGACGCCTGCATGCGGACTGCGGACCCTTTGTTGACTGCCCTGCGCTGCGCTTCGTCGAGCCGGCGTCGCGCGTGTAAAAGCGTCGTCGTCCCCTGGCCACCGGCCGCGGAGCGCGACGTGCGGGGAGGCCCGTGAGGACGGACATGGACATGGATAGGCATCGGGCATCGGCAGGTGTGGACCGGGAGACGCGGACGCCGCGTGGCTAGTGGCACGTTCGCTTGGCTGATAAGCGCGACGAAAGTATTGTTGATTGATTTATTGTGAGAAAAAAATACTATTCGTTGATTGAAAAAATACGGTTTATAAGATAAACCCGACGCCAACGGTAGCTTATACTACTACTATTTTTTCTTTATTATTGGGGGTAAGTCACGCTGTCGATTGTCCTGCGTTGTTAATTCATTTGGCGCCGAGGCCGGTGCGCGGTTCGTGGCGTCCAATCCAGCGATGCCAGGCCAGCTCGTTAATGTGATTGTGATTGGGGAGTAGCTAACTGATTGACGTGCGGGTGACCCATACCCGTGCCTCCGGCGACTTCCAATTGCAATCGGTCCTCGGTCCTCGCTGCTGTGGTTTTCGGTCCGGGACACCTCATGTCTGCCCGCAAGTACGGATTACTCATTACTATTAATTACTGGAGTAGTATTTGCTACTGGCCTAGTGCTACTGCTGGTCTTCAACGGTTGAGGTCTTGAGTTTTTTTAACACTTTTTTAAACTAATTTTAAATCTAACATTGTTTTTTTTTTCCAAAACTAACATTTTTGGCCGCGTCTATTTTCCTGGCGCGACGAAACACCTGTGCCGCACCATGCATGGTGGCGCGGCGAGGGGATGAGATGGCGACGATCGAGGTGCTGACCAGTGACGTGGCAGGTTCTGCCGCGCCACCGATCTTGGCGCGGCACTGACACGCCAAGGCCCACGGCGCGGCAGGACCTGGACACAGACAGAAGCCGACCAGCTTCAATTGCAATTGAACGGGAGCTTAACAACTACAAGTGCCACGACGCATTGAAACGAATATGAAGCAAATAAATAGAGTCCACGCACAAGTTGACAAGTTGCCACATAACATTTTCATAAGTTCGACATAACCAACTAAATCTACAAGTTTCGGACGACAATATTTATTCGACATAACTAACTAAGTCTCAGGAGTGTAAGAATCCCTCGGACGCCTCTGTCTCTTCGGATTTATAGGCAACACATTGGAAGTGTAGCCAACGTCGGTGTGGTTGCGTTGCCGGTGCGTACGGCTCGTACCCTGCAAGTATATGATATGCATGATTACTTATAATCTTTATGATCGTTAGTTCATAAAACCTACGTATTTAAAGAAACTATCTTTGTTACTACCTGTGAGGCTCCTTGGGT